CAACTCTTGGGCTACTCTTTTATCAACGAATAGTGGGACTGACCGTTACGTTATAACGCCCCAACGGCTGAAAGGGCGAGTCGAGTGCCTTAACCACCTGGCCATGCCGGGCCTAACTAGTAGTGGAATGATCACACTTTATACTTATCCGTGTTAGCAAATTTATTCTAACATCTCAACAATAGCCACTGATTTGCAATATAAATTAACTTGTAATTATACCAGATTAATCTTATGGGAAAAATGTAACGTATTTAAGTTTCTTTAATGCGAATATTTAGTGTAGCCACATTTGGGATTTATAATATCTTGGCATTTATGTAGCATTGTTTTTGTATATTTTCTCAAAGTCTTTGGTGTAATATGATTCCATATTTCTCCAAGCTGAGTCTAGTATTTCTTTAGCACAGTTGGAACTTCCGTTAAGCGTTTTGTTCCATAATGTTTAGGTCTGGACTTTGTAACGGGCATTCCATTCGAACCACCCTAAATGTCACGTTAATGTAGCCTATATAGAGTGTAAAGTTTAGTATACTCTAATCCCTTATAGTGATGGCACACGACGAAACAACACATTCGGCATGCAATGCTGTTTGAATACAAGAAGGGAAACAACGCCTCTGTAGCCACAAAGAATATCAAAGAAGTTAATGGAAATGTTTTGAACGTTCGTAAGTGTCAACGATGGTTCAGCAAATTTCGTTCAGCTGACTTTAACCTTAAAAACTGTGATGGCAGGGGCCGACATGTTGGAATTGATAATGATGATCTGAAGACGCTTGTTGAGTCTAACCCAAGGCAACACACTCGTGAAATGGCCCTGAAATTGTATGCCTCTCATGAAACAATACGTAAACATATAAGGAATATGGGAAAACTCCATAAAGAAGATGTTTGGATGTCTCACGAACTCTCTGATGATCATCGTTTCCAATGCGTGAACGTTGCTTCGTTTCATCTGGCGTGTAATGCGCGTGAACCATATTTGGACAGAATTGCCACCTGTGATGAAAAGTGAATTATCTATGCGAATATTAAACGCTAAAAACAATGGCACAGTCCTAGACAAAAAAACACTTCCGACCCCAAAACCTGGACTCCATCCGCAGAAAGTGATGCTTTGCATTTGGCAAGACATCAAAGGAGTAATTCATTTCGAGCTCCTCAATCCACAGTGAACTGTCAATGCAGAGATTTATAGTCAGCAACTGGAACGTTTTAATCAAGCCCTTCATCAGAAACGCCCTTCACTCGTCAATCGTCAATCGGTGTTGTTCTTCTCCACGACAATGCACGTCCACATGTGGCACGTTTGACGCAACACAAGGCTATGAAGTTGGGTTGGAAAGTTCTCCCCCACCCACTATATTCTCCAGATATGGCACCATGAGATTACCATCTTTTTCGTTCGCTGCAACACCATCTTAATGGGAAAACGTGTGCAAATGTGGAAGGTGTTAAAGAGGACATCGACATGTTTTTTGCTTCAAAACCAATTGATTTCTGTAATCAGGGCATTAACAACCTGATTGTAAGATGGAAAAGCATCATCGATAAGAATGGAGTCTATTTCATTACTAAATGTTTTGTTTGATATACAAGTTGTTCGGGTTTTTTCATCTAAAACAAGCGACATTAATTTCTTGACGACCTAATATTTTGAGCTTTGTTAATCTGCCAAAATGAGCTCGAAACTAAGTTTGAAGTGTGTGTGTTTGTTTGTATGTAATTAAGCACAAAGCTACACAATGGGCTATCTGTGCTCTGCCCACCACGGGTATCGAAACCCGGATTCTAGCGTTATAAGTCCGCAGACATACGCTGTGCCACTGGGGTGTGTGTGTGTGTGTGTGTGTGTGTGTATGTCTGTGTTTGTAGTCATTATCTTCTTGAAATGAGAATTTCTACCCAATAAGCTATGGGTTATGCTGATCCATGATTCCATCAGTTTTTTAAAGATAAAAATTGGAGACGGCTCAAATAGGCAACGAAGAAAACTGTTACAAGTTTAAATCTGAAGACTTACCGCTGTCCCACCAGGGGATAAATAATAACTAACATCTTTGCTATATTCACTTTGCACAGCAAGGGATTTCTTGTTGTTTCTCTTCTCAAAACGCTACATTCCTGTTCTCGAAACAGTAAATCTTGAAACTTCATCTATGCATGACTGTTAATTCCACAGGCAAAGTTTTTTTTTTTTAGTTTTTCTTGGGTTTCTCAGGGGACTGTTTTATTTGTTTTTTAGGTCCCTTTCAAGGCGCCTTTTCTCCTTCCCCTGACTTGTCAGGTATAGTAGGACTGGGTTTTCTTGTATCTGTCCAAATGTGTACTTCACAGTACTTGGTAGGCAGTCGAGTATTTGTGCAGTTTTTCTTAATCTCGAACCAGCATCATGTCAAGATTTGACTCTGACTCCAAAGAATGTTAATTCTTTCTGTTTGGGCATTTCACTGTCAACATCACTATAGGCTTACTGTAATGGTCGATATTCTTGAACAAATCGACCATCTCCATAATGTCATATGCAAATAACTTCAACGTATAAATACAATTATATTTCGATGAAGACCACAAAATACAAAAGTTGTGTCACGAATGAAAGAATACAAGGAATTAACTGCATTTTCATGAGATCGCGATGGGAATTGGTCAAAGTCAGCGAGCAATCACTAGCATGCAAATTCATGAAAAACACAAAAACCCAGTCACGTCCGAGTAGGACAGTTTCTGCATGTCAAGAACGTCCAAAACCAACAGGGTGGAATTTTAATGTTGTTAGAAAAAGTATGAGAATGGCGCATGTAAAATATCCGTTACTGTTGCAGAGTGGGTTCACCACGTGTGTCCCAATAATATCAGAAGATATCTTCATAGCATGGGCTAGTACGACAGTGTAGCTAGATGGAAGCCACTCCTCACTCCAGGCAATGTCATACGTTGACAACAGTGGGTTTCTAGCATAGTACATTGCCCTTCTGCCTTTTCTGACACTGTAATTCCGACGAGTTTAAATTAATACAATTATCAGACAATGAACATGATGTTCAGTTACCAGCGTGGTTATATAGTGTTAATAGTGTATTAGTAACCTCGTTAATTTTCAATAGTCATTGTAAATTACATAGCTTTTGTTTGTTGGTCTGCTATTAAGTACAAAGCTGCACAATGGGCTACCTATGCTGTGCCCACTGCGGGTACCAAATTCCAATTTTTAGAGTTATAAGCCCTCAGACTTACCATTAAGTAATAGTTAATAATAGATATCTAAACAGTTTATTTTATGTTTATGGTGGATTGGATTTGTCATAACCCTACTTACTTGTTCAGTGAACGTACTTTACAAATGTGATGAAACAGAAAGTTATGCTTCTCTGTACATTGTTTATGGCGTAGTAATCGAAACTGGAATTTCAAATGTGAATGGCGCTTATGCGAATGTTAGCTAAACGGCCAGATCAGAGACTATAGGGTTCAGGTGTAGCCCTCCTTAATACTGAGCTACTGAACAAAGGAAGACAGACAAACAGTAGCACCCGCCACCATAAGGGCTTTATCCGGCTCTTTGAATTGAATAAAGAAATTGATTGTCATTTTATATGGAGGACATAGTTAAAAGTGAAAAACATGTTCAGCGTCACCACGTCTTTAACCCTGGACCCTTCGATACGCAACCCGACACGCTAACCACGAACCACGTCATTCCTATTATGACGTAATAAACGATACTATTAAAAAATGTCAAACAAATATTGTTAAATAACTCCATGTAGGCTGTAGTGAAATTAAAACACTGTAAATTGTGCAACACTTTATCAATTTGTAAATTTTTCATTCAAGAAAAAAACGTATTAAAAATAGTAAACAAGAAACATTTCGTAACACTGCAAACTCTTCACGCTTCAATAAGGCATTATTTTATAATAATCAACATTATGTACATAGGTACATCGAGGGGGCGATTAAAAAACACAGTGAGGATAACCATTTGATAAAATAACAACAATAACACATCAAACTTCATTTATCCATTGTGAATGTCATAAAATGATCGAGCTGATTTGAATGTTGTTTAAAGTCTCCATACTTACCCATGACACTGACACCATGATCTTGGTAATGAACAAGTTCGTCCTGCGCAGTCTCCAGCACCTACATGAAAATTCGAATTATTTCGGAAGTTTTTGGTACAGAAAAATGCAACTGAAAAAAAAAATGTATACAAATACATAAAACTTGAAAAATTGGAAATTTCTGACAGATATTAATCGAAGAGAACACAATACAAATCTATAAAAACTGCGCACGCATAAATAAAACAGAACCATACTATCAGAATTTATTAATTTGTAGAACAAAATATACACAATGAAATCCGCTCAATTTTTATTTATCAAAACTGTGCTTGGTGATAGCTAGTGAATCTAGAATGTTAAGAGCAGGCAAACTGTTGACAATAACTATACTACCATTGACACTGTGAGATCAATTAATACATACTATGTTCGTAAGTTATAACGAAGGAAGAATAAAACGATCCTACATACAGTTAAATTGTTATATGTATATTGTGAATATTAGGTATGCGAGTTGTTTAGAGATAAGCTTATATATGGCAAATTGGTCATACGCATAAAGTGAATATTATATGTGTGGATTTTCAAAGATTAAGCATTCATATAGAAAGTCATCACGCACTTGCAGTGAAGACAGACAGCAAGAAAGGAAAAACAATACGAGTCAGCTCAATAAGCTGTGATTTTCTAAATAAAAAAAAAGGTAAAAGAGCGATAGTAATTATTTACTGTTCTTATCCACTCGAAACATTTCTAGTGTGCTGAAATGTGTACATTCATTTTATGTTTGTAGTATTGGGCAAGTATACCCATAGATGGTAAAACAGCATGTGGTGAATGGTTCGATCTTTAACTCTAGCATTGAAAGCACTTTAGCAGTGTAACTGTTCTCCCACTGTGTTTAAATCTCCCATGAGCACCACCAAATGCCAGATCGAATAGTGGAATTTAATCACGGCTCTTATAAGTACCCATGTCCCCAAAGTACAGAGCATAATTTTTGATATTATAACCATCATTTTAATTTGATATTATTGTAATGCGGATTCTAAAGAATGCTATTTTGTTATGTGTTATTTGGTGATGTGTGGTAGAGAGGATGCTTTTTATATCTGCGAGTCTTGTGTACACTTGATCATTCGGTGTATTACCATGCTTGTGTCCCTGGGCTGTCCTGTAAAATGTACATCCAGTCTAACCATGGACTGCGGCTTTCAAGCAATTTCACTGAATCATGTTGTAAATTTTTAGTTGCATTAAAGTTAACTTAAAGCCAGTTTGAGGACAAGCACTTGTTAAAGTAATTTATTACCGGTACGGTAGTAGTCTTTACCCCACCAATTGCAAAATTTTATACAAATCAACACTTCTCATTTATGAAGACATTTGGATATACATACTAACAGCTATTACACTTAAAAGAAATGTATCAGTCCATTTAAGTTCGATTGGAAAATGTGTTTTAAGTTGGACTTACCAAGGTCACCCATTGACCCACAAACATTTACCTAGGCAATCACCAGCATTATCATACTAAATCACATAAATGTATCCCACCTGACTGGAAGCAACTACAATTATTCTTTTACATCACTGTAGCATCGCTCCTAATAATATCAGTAAAAATCGTCACGGTTGTTTGTTTTTTAGAGCAAAGCCACGTTAGGCTATCTGATATGTCCACAGAGGGGAATCGAATCCTGGATCTTGGCGCTGAAAGACCGTAGACTTACTGCTGTCCCACCGAGATAGAAAAATCGTTATGATAAGTCTTACTTTCACCGCTATAATATACATTTTATAACTAAAAACTTACGTTTTGCTAACTTTTGATCTTTCGAAATTCAGTTGAGGTCAAATGTTGAGTTCAGACTGAGGTGTTACTGTTTCTTTCTGTAGATTGTTCCCTCACGGAACTAATGCATTGTTTCATGTAATAGTTGTTTATCTATTTATAGAGGACTACATTGTGATTCACATGTAACCGAGACACTTCCGCATAGTGATGCTCGCTTTCCGTTTAGTCAGCTATACAGGAAGTGTGTATTTTGAATGCCATTTTGGCACTTTCCTGTTAGATTCATTCAAACATTTGAGTAATACGGCTCATGTCGTGTTTGTGGTGCAGTTCGATCCTTGTTCTGCAAACTGCTGGTCGTCAACAGAGACGGACTGGATTCTAAAATTCTACCGGGAGTAAAACCTAGAGGGAGCCCACAAATTTGTCATAAAAATACATAATTAAGAAATATATGTAACTTAATGTTAAACCATTAATCATACAAATTTCACATGGTCAGTAATTTTGAAAACACAGGGGAGACCTTCACAAGACAGGAGATAACGTCTTCATCAGGAATATTGTCAAATAAATCCTTATCGACGTACATCATTATTGGTGGAATTAATACAAGTGTTAATTTAAATGTTAATGTAATGGCAACAGAGAAATAACTAAGTCTCTGTGGTGACAGAGAATTAATCTATTTTTGTACTTTTCCAAGGGGACCCAGGCCACCAGACTTTTCTCCAGTGTCTCGTTGAGCCAGTCCGCGCCTGGTGTTGTACATTTTATCTTCATTTTAATTCATGTGAAGTTTCCTTTAATCTATTTTAATTCTAAATAAAGTTTATCTCGTTTCTTTTGAATATTCTTTTCCTTACAAAGCAATAGTCCTACTATTGCTATAGACGATCAACATTTGGTTCAGACATTATTCTGTTTTCGCTTTGAATATAATAAATAATCTTATTCAGATATCAACACTGTTTCTCGTCACTTTCGTTCCATCTGCAACAAATCGCTCCACACACCCTTCCACGTTTTAAACCCACGAAACCCTAGTTTTTGCGGAGAACGAGTGGCAAAGTTTATTCAACAATTATACAGTAACATGACATTTTACTGAAGTTACAGCATCGCCAACAAATAAAAACATGATCAAACTGGTAAGATACGTTTGTGTATATTTACAGGGATATTTATACCATACCTGAATTGGTTTATTGAGCAGAAAGGGAAGATACATAATTTTTTTTTTTCAGTGGAGGGTTGTAACACTGTTTTATGTTTCCAACATGAATATTTGTTATTTTTTGTCAATTGATAACGGGTACCTTACCTCAAAAGATAACCAACCTTTACATCAAAATAATAAATACCGATTAAAACAGATTTAATGTATTATAAAAATGTTTTTTAAAAGCTTTACAAGAACTTTAAAGTAAAAACAGTATATTACAAGTATAAAAAAACAACTTTAGATTTTATAAAGACAAGTATGGATCGATATATACGTAACCTAACTAGCTATAGTAAAACAGGAAGTTTTAACGCTACAAAAGAGTATTGAAAAAGAAAGTCAAAACTTGGCTCAGACAAACATAATTACAGTGATTTAACAAAGTAAGGATAATTTTTGAAAGTTTTAAAACAATTTTTGTACTTTGACTCTCTTGTTCCAATATTCTTGTAGTATTAAAACTTTCTATATTACTAAATCTAGCTAGGTTACGTATAAATCGATACTTACTTGTCTTTATAAAATTTGATTTTTTTTGTATTATACTTGTTTGTTTCTTCTTTATTAGCTATGTCTTTGTGTGCACCAGCAATACCAAACGTGGGACGCACGTATACCCGATTCGATTTTATTATTCATCAGGAACACTACCAACCTATCCTCAAATCTAATTATATGCGCGCACACACATATACACACAAATACCCCCCACCACACATACACACACAAACTACCCCCACTATATATATATATATATATATAT